GATTTACCCCAAAAGGGGACTTCTCGGCGTGAACAACATATCATGCTATTCATAAGGTCAATTCTCACTCTCCTCATAAAAAACAATTACTCCTTGGATCCTTTTCAAAGAGTTGGAACTGGATTTGGATGCTCCCTCCTAAATTCATTTGTTCATTTGGAGATGCTCCAATGATGCCCTTGCTACTGAAGTTTGTCTGTGCAATCTGAATTGCTCTTCAAGCTCTACCTGTGACATTTTTGTCAAAATTCAAACTGAGTCCCTCCACCATTGCCTCTCTTCTTTCTACCATACGACTAGTTCTTGGAATGCTTTATTTCTTTCCATCCCTCTCCTTCCTCCCCGACAATTTCTTTGTTTAATTAGTTTTGTTCCTTGAAGGATTTGCTCCCTCCAAAAAGTATCTTGCGGGTTGTCTTTCTCAGTTGGAATATCTGAAGGCAAGGAACAAAAAGTTTGTAAGAACTATACCCCATGTGCGCTTGCTCCTTATGACCCTCTACTCGAGATTTCTTTTAGTGAACTTAGTTTCCTACAGAAGTTCTGCATCCCATCCGTCCTGCTCATAGTAGTGGCCCGTTGCATACTCCCCCACCACTTAGCAATCACTCGATGGTGATTCATTGTGATGGGTCCTTTTATAAATGACTTATAGGTAGTGTCTTATAGTGTTATGGTCATTGCCAACCATGAACGAGTGTGCAACATGCATGTTGAGACTATCATTTGCTCCATGCATATCGAAATTGAAGTGAAACCTTTGTTGTAATATCTCAAATTGCCCCAATAATGAGCATCTCCATGTGTTGTCTTCTCGGATTGTCAAGTTCTCGTTGGTGCTCTATCAACTAATCCTCCTTCATGGCCATAGATGTGTTTGGCTTAGATTGTTTCGATGGTCTATTTTCTTAAATAGAATATGTAAGTTGAGGTGTATGATGTTTCTACATCTTATATTATTCGTGCCGACTGGGTGGCTCACTCCCTCATTTGATCTTTACTCCCCAAACAACTGGATCAATATTAGTAACCAACTAATTTCATAGTTTTATAATGCACAACTTCTCTTTTAAACTTGTCTATTTGTGGAATTAAGTGAATTACGTGTAAAAAAAAGTTACTCCTCAATCACTAGGTCTAGGGTAGTGTGCATAACCATATATTACCCATTAATTTTGGGTAGGGTTAGATATAAGGGTTTGATTAAAATAATATTTTTTTATTTTTAATTGGGTTGTGTCTTCTTTATTTTAATTGGGATTAAATTCTTTTTGTACAAATGCACCAGTTCATTGTTGTAATATCCCAACCTTTTTCTCGCCAATAAATTGTCCGCTTTGGGCCCACCCAAACCGTCCAAACACAATTTTGTCTTTGGGTATATAACAAGGTGACTTTTAGAGAGGTAACCCATCATTGCATTGTTTCACGATCAATACGTTTAACTTCGGGGCTTTTACAAAAACTCTTTCATTTTACCCCAATATGCGTCTTTTCAGTTAAAGTTGATTTCTTACTTATGGATCTCTCCGGTGCTTTGTTAATGTGAGATTTTAGCATAACGTGTTACATACACCCCCAGGAACTCAACATCCTAGTTGAGGTTTTCCCTGCCATCGCCTAAAAGAGACGCAGAGACGCTCTAATACCACTTGTAATATTCTGACCTTTTCTGGCCAAAATATTGTCCGGTTTGAACCTACTCCACCCAGTTTTACTTTTGAGGTAAATCATAACAACTTCTTGGGAGGTAACCCATCTAGGGGTGGGATTCGGTCGGTAAACAATTTACCGTTTACCGAATTTACCGGTTTCGGTATATCGAAGTTGGCCAAACTGGTTACCGATTACCGATACCGGTTTGTAACCGGTTTACCGATTACCGAATTATCGGTAAACGGTTACAAACCGGTATTACCGAAATACAGTGAGAAGCGATTTCGGGCGGTTTTTTCGGTCGGTTTACCGAATATTTACCGAACCGAATTTCTGGAAGTGGGGTCAAGTTGTAATATTTTGATTTTTTTTAGTTTTTTCATCATTTTTGTAATTAATAATTTATTATTTACAATATTTTTGAGGCCTATACTTACATTCATGTATGTAATATTTTATATTTGTGAATAATGATGTAATATTTTTCATAATAAAGCAACAAAACGCAGCGCAGCACTAGGAAGTAGGGAGGGGGGATTCGGTATCGGTAATACCGATTTACCGTCGGTATTTACCGATACCGTGTTCGGTAAACCGACTCCCCCAACTTCCCGCTCGGCTGCCGATACCGCCGGTAAACGGTTTACCGTTTACCGCCGGTTACCGGTTCGGTAAAACGGTAAACCGTTTACCGGATTACCGTTTACCACCTCTAAACCCATCTATCACTATCCCACTAAACACATTTGACTTAAAAAAATTATAGGAATTCTTCCATTTCCTTTCTAAATGAACAGTTAAATCAATTTCTTACTTGTAAATTGTAGATCTCTTTTACAATTTGTCAATATAATATTTATCTAATAATCCACAAATATTATCCATTTTCAATATATTTTCAAAATAAGAATTCATATCACCTAATATCACTCATTACTACACTGTAACACGTGAAACCACTTTGTCAATCACTATTATCTTTTCAATTAGTCATGGACAGCATAACGTTGGATTTCAGCCCATTTAATAAATGCCATAAGAGCCCGTGATCAAATGTTCTTTTCGTCTTCCCACTTTTTAGTTTTACTGCTCCCTGTCTCTGTCGACAGTCCCGTCAAAAAGTAAAAAAAACTCACCGCAGGTTAAAGTTCCCGCCGAATTCTCACAAAAAAAAAGAGAGGAGAAATTGCCGCCATTTTTTATTACAAACAGCGAGGAAAATACATCTCACGCGTCCTTCATACCTCGTACAACACACGTCCCTGATTATGCCTTTGGAACAAAGTTGTCAAATCGGTTTAAGCCGTTGAGCTAGTCAAACAAGGAATTTGAGGTTTAATGGTATGATCGGGGTCCGACCGGTTTGAGCCGTTTTAAAAGTTTTCTAAATATATATATACAAATAAAATAGTAATTAAAAATTTAATAACTGAAATAAAATTTATCTTACATATATCAATTAAAAACTTATTTTTCACAATATAAATCTATCTTCTCAGTTCCCACCCACCATATCCCTTCCTTTGTTCCTTTTTTTTCTTCTCCCTCTCCCTCTCTTCTTCTACCTCTTTAGAGTTTAGAGGTCAGACCGTTTTGAAACTCGACTCGGGTTGGACCGGGTCTAACTGGGAATTCGTTAGGGGTTTAACAACCTTGCTTTTCAATGTAGGCAACGTGAGTGGAGTTGCGCGTGGGGTACATGGTGAGAAACAGTAGGAGTGGTATTTATTTTGGACAAACCGAAGTTGGAACCGACCGTATTTGGAATTGTGTCAAAACTCAGACAACAATCGCTGCCTTTCTTTATATTTATACTTGTACACAATATTATATTAAATTATTATTGTTATTAATAACACCTCAAAAACACTTTTATTACATTTTTCGAAAAAGCACTTTTCCCCAAAAAAAGCCATAATTTTGAACCTTCACGCTATAGCAAGGTTGTCAAACCGGTTTATGCCAGTGTGCCGGTTTAGCAAGTGGAATGGTTCGACCGGTGGCACATACCGGTTTGTGCCGGTTCATGCCGGTCAATATTACAAATAAAATTATAAATACTCATATTTAAACATGACATTTAACATCAATACTTAAATATTTATACTGGAATCCAACAAATAACATCAATATTAAACTTTTATACTCATAAAATAAATAATTAAATCATTTTATCAATTAAATTCACTAAAATAAGATCATATTACTTAGAGATTCGTATATCGATCATGCCGGTCATACCGGTGGTGTCATGCCGGTTTTATGACCGGTATCGGTTGAACCAGGTTCAACCGGTGGCACGCCGGCCGGCGTGACAACCATGCGCTATAGCTAGCTTTAACCTGATGGGATAATTCCGACTGCAGTCCTCTGATTCAGTTCGACTCCCATTTTAGTCCCTTCACTTCTATGGATGTTATTATAATTAAATATTTTAGAGTTAATAGAGCCAATAACGGTAGAGATTAGGGAATCTTCATGCTGTTTTTAAATTATCCCTCAGCTTTAATAATTAATACACATATTTATCATCATTCATATTGACCCATACATATCATCATTCGTATCAATCAATAACAAAATATAATAAACGCTTTCTCAAATTAAATTTCTTGATTTCAAATTTCCTCCATTCTTAACCATCCAGGTCAGCCTTATTTCCATGCCATTTTATTCATTTTTTTATATATTTTAATGCAGTTAAAAATAACCGAACATATAAATAATCATTAATAGGATTCATACTCATGATCATTGGGTTCTATGCTATGGTTAAAATATTTAACTATTGAGACAAACTCTATTTGAATATGTTAATCACATATTTAATATAATAAAGTCTATTAATGATATGCATCGCACTGGGATTGTTACTATAGTATCATCATTCGTGTTTAATATTTAACTTATGATCAATAATATTTTTACTCCATAAATAAAACCGGTATTAGATAAAAAGTTAGCTAAACTCACTAAATCTTATGCTAGAAATTATATTTTATTTGGTAATACATAATTTATGATTATAAATAATTAAATCAGCATAAAACATAAGAAAAATGTAAACCATTCAAATCTAATGTAAAATAATTATTACGACCGGGAGCAAAACTAGTATGCATAAAAGTTTATAAGACTAACCCCATTTCATCCCTCATTACCATATTGCATGGTTCTTTGAAAAAGAGCTTGCCCTAATTTGTGGTAAATTTCAAGTTAACATACTTAAAAGTTACCTACTTTGTCAAACATTTTTAATTTATCCCATATAAGAAAGTGATACTACTGATACACCAGAAAATTATGGCACACGTTGTTCTACAAAAAAAAAAAAAAAATCATATATATCATATTTGATTGAACAACAGGCTACATCGATACAAACTTTTTTTACCATTCCTAACTTTGCAAATGAGAAACGAATCCGAGCAAAGTGAACAGAAGAAAACAAATTTCCATTTCCGCGTCTAAGGAAGAAGGAGTGGCCGAATTTGCGGGACCCACTTTCACCATTCAGCTCCTCCTCCTCCTCCTCCTCACTCTCTCTGTATTTCACTCCCACTGTCCCACACCCAAACAACGCTTGCAATTTGCAACACACAGACAGCTGCTATGCTAATTTCTTTTCTTTATATAAAGCTCACCCCAGCTGCTGCTAATCCATTCCTCTTCTCAATCCCATTCTCTCCATAGCTACTCTATTAGCCTGCAAGGAAAAAGATTAAAGTAGTGAAGCTCAAAGCAAATCAGAGGAAACTTCCCTCTGTTGATTACCCACATTTTCTTCCTTTCTTTCTATCCTGACTTTCTCAGCAACCAAGCAGGGGGTTTGTGTGTGGCAGAGCAGCTGCAGCTGCAGCTGGTGGTGGATTTTCTTTTTTGAGGGGGAAAGGGAAAGATAAAAGAAAAGGGGGGAGAATAAAGTTGTGTGTGTTGCCAGAGGAAGAGGAATAAGAAACAAAGGCCATTGCTTTTCTTTCTTCAAGCTCTCTAGTCTCTCCCAATTCGTTTTTTCTTTGCTTTCCATCTCAAGGCTGCTACATGGCGAAACTTACTACAATGTCTAATAATAATAAGCAAAATGTGTTGATAATTTCTTCCTTCCTTCTGGCCTTGTGCCTTTCCTCTTCTGTATCTGCTTCTGTTTCGTATGATTCCAAGGCTGTTGTCATCAATGGCCAGAGAAAGATTCTCATCTCTGGATCCATTCACTACCCGAGAAGCACTCCTGAGGTAATGAACATCCAATTTTGCCTTCAAACCCTTTTACCAAATTAGTCCCATTTTTCACCTTAAAGTTTGCTGCTTTTTGTATGCAAGCAACATTTGGAAGCGGGATGGTTTCTGGGTTTTTGACTTTTGTGGGGAAATTGTTTTGGGCAGATGTGGCCAGATCTCATACAGAAGGCTAAAGAAGGAGGGTTGGATGTGATTCAGACATATGTTTTCTGGAATGGGCATGAGCCTAATCCTGGACAAGTAAGAATTTTGTCAAATTGGACCCCATCTTTGACCTTTTTTTTGCTCACTTTCCTGTTGTTGCTTATGTTTGCAGCTAAATGCAGTATAATAATAGTAATAATGCTAATGGTTGTTTATGTGTTTGTTTTTATAGTATTATTTCGAGGGTAACTATGATCTAGTGAAGTTCATCAAGCTGGTGAAGGATGCAGGTCTTTATGTTCATCTCAGGATTGGTCCTTATGTCTGTGCCGAATGGAACTTTGGGTAACTAAGCCAGCTGCTTCTACTTCTGCTTGTGTTTGGATTACTCGCTGGATTTGGGAACCAAGTTATGGAAATTCGGTGAAAATTGGAAGCTCAATTTCTATTGTTTGAATTCTGCAGGGGATTCCCAGTTTGGCTCAAATACATTCCAGGCATCAGTTTCAGAACCGACAACCAGCCTTTCAAGGTAAGGCATTTCTGAATGTTTCCATGTTTTAGTGTGTTGTGTAATTAAAAAAAGGAAACTTCGAGTTTGGAATTTGATGTCTTCTATGTTTTTGTTTTCATTTTTTCTTGGAAGGCCCAAATGCAAAAGTTCACTACAAAGATTGTCAACATGATGAAGGCAGAGAGGCTGTTTGAGAATCAAGGAGGTCCAATTATTTTATCCCAGGTAATCAACGGTTCACGTCATTTCTGTTATATGTTGTCACTTAATCACCGACTTTGACTAAAACCGAGCTTCTCTCTCTGTGTCTGTCTGTCTGTCTTGATTTCCATTTACAGATTGAGAATGAATATGGACCCATGGAGTATGAACTTGGTTCCGCTGGTAAAGCTTACACAAAATGGGCTGCAGATATGGCTTTAGATCTTGGAACAGGTGTGCCATGGGTCATGTGCAAGCAAGATGATGCCCCAGACCCTATTGTAAGTCTGTCCAGTCAAGAGTCAACTTCTTATAAATTTGAACTTAATCTGTAGCCATACTCTTTATTGTTTCCTTTCTCAGTTCTGGATGGTGCTCTTTCACTAGTTTAGTGGGTTTGACATGAGCAAAGCTCTATCTTATAGTGGATGGTCATTGAATGAGATGAAATATTATTGTTGTTATTGTACCTTGCACATGGCTCATCTTTAGGATCCTGTTATCTTTTTATATAATTTTCCCTATTCCCCTTGGAAGATCTTTTTATTATTGTTGAGGCTCCTCTCAAAATGATAGTCTGATGCACATGGGCTGTTTTTTCTAATGGAAGCACCATGGAATTTCTTGTGGTTTTGGGTTCTGAGTTTCTGTATACCTTTTCTCATCCAAGGATTGTATGCTTAACAGGATTCTTAATTCTCATCCAAATTCACTTTTCTCGACAGATAAATTCTTGCAATGGTTTCTATTGTGATTACTTCTCACCAAACAAAAATTACAAGCCGAAGATGTGGACTGAAGCCTGGACTGGCTGGTAAAGCACCATGCTTTATGCATTATTGAAGAACTAGCAAAAGAGCCGACATATATGTAAGAGGGTGACTGATTTTCTATTGATTTGTAATGCTTGCAGGTTCACTGAATTCGGTGGTGCAGTTCCTCATCGACCAGCTGAAGACATGGCATTTGGAGTTGCAAGGTTCATACAGAAGGGAGGTTCATTCATCAATTACTATATGGTAACTCAAATGGAATTCTCTGAGGATAAGTTGCTTATTGGTTGATTTGAATCAAGTTTGATATGTTCGTCCGTGTTGCATGCTTCAGTACCATGGAGGGACAAATTTTGGCCGAACTGCTGGGGGTCCTTTCATCGCAACAAGCTATGATTATGATGCTCCTCTTGACGAATATGGTATGAACAAAAGCTTTTGGTTTCAAATTGGTAATATATTTCGTTTAGGTAAAGAATGAAGGGTGTTTGTTTCATATTTGGTCACTGTGTTTGATGATGTCAGTGCAGTTAGACTGCATTCGCAATACTACCGGAAAGCTTTTTTTGGCCCTATTCTTGTAGTCTTCTACATACTTGATTATGGATGTCTTTTTCATTCAGAAAGATCAACATGTGATGGCAACTGATAATTTTTGAAGTATGCCATGAAAAAAAAAAAAGAAGATAATATTCAAAGTCTCGTTACAAGTGGATTTAGTAGGTCCCTTTTCCTAGTCAGCACTAGCAAACTTATCCTTTTGTGGTGACATTGTAATAGGACGTGATTAATATATTTTGTGAAGGTCATTACTGAAATCTAAATCATGAAACATGGAAAATTCTGCAGTAATTACTTAAATATGTAGTAGGATTAATGGGAATCTGAATATTTTTTTGCAGGGCTATTGAGGCAACCAAAGTGGGGTCATCTGAAAGATTTGCATAGAGCCATTAAGTTGTGTGAACCAGCTCTAGTGTCCAGTGAGCCAACCGTAATGAAACTTGGAAATTATGAAGAGGTCCTTTTCTCATGCTTCATATATTTCATTTAAAAGCTACAAAATAGAGGCAGTCCATGTTTCCATCAAACTCTATACACCTTTGTCTGTTGAACGTGCAGGCTCATGTCTACAAGTCCAAGTCGGGAGCTTGTGCAGCATTCCTCGCGAACTACAACCCGAGATCATTTGCCAAAGTGTCTTTCGGAAACATGCATTACAACTTGCCACCTTGGTCCATCAGCATACTTCCTGATTGCAAGAACACAGTCTACAACACGGCAAGGGTGAGCACAACCATCATTTTTATTCTTCTTCCGGAATTCTGGAACATCGTTATGTGTAAAATCATCGGTCTAATGGGTGATATACAAATACTTTTAGGTTGGTGCCCAAACGTCGAGGATGAAGATGGTTAATGTTCCTAGACATGCTGGCCTCTCTTGGCAAGCATATAGTGAAGAGCCATCGGCAGATGGTGATAAGAGCTTCACTATGGTTGGATTACTGGAACAGATCAACACAACCAGGGATGCTACAGATTACCTGTGGTATATGACAGAGTAAGTTAACTATCATGATGCTTAAGAATATAATTTCTTTGCATTCACTGGTCTGGGTTTCTAATCCATATTTCCTTTTTCTATCATCTCAGTGTTAACATAAGCCCTGCCGAGAGCTTTCTCCGAAATGGAAAGTATCCGGTTCTCAATGTTTTGTCAGCTGGCCATGCTTTGCATGTTTTTGTCAATGGTCGACTAGTAGGTGTGTAATGTTATTCTCTGTTCAAAGATCATTTTCTCGTTAAATCATCTGCTCCCGGTTGTGTTCAACGTGTTCATTTTATGCTAAGCAGGAACTTCTTATGGAAGTCTAGAATTTCCAAAACTGACTCTCAGTCAAGGTGTGAACTTGAGAGCTGGCACCAACAGAATTGCCCTTCTCAGCATTGCCGTCGGTCTGCCGGTTAGTCTTTTTCTTCTGATCATATAATTGTCACAAAGAGATACACATTCGAGTATGTATCTTAATACTTGTCATTCTTTGTGGCAATTTAGAATGTTGGTCCACATTTCGAGACGTGGAATGCTGGTATCCTTGGGCCCGTGACATTGAATGGCCTCAATGAGGGCCGTAGGGACTTGTCGTGGCAGAAATGGACATACAAGGTTTGTGTTTCATCAATTCATTCTCCGCCTCTCGATCTCTGTTCTTTGATCATTTATTCTAAACTATTCATTTGTTTCTTTGCCCATATCGACTAGATTGGTCTCAAAGGTGAACAATTAAGCCTTCACTCACTCAGTGGAAGTACATCCGTGGAGTGGACTGACGGATCTGTAGTTTCCCAAAGGCAGCCTCTCATGTGGTACAAAGTAAGCATTTCAACCTTTGAATGCAATACCATTTAGGCCCCCTGAACTTAGCTACTATAGAATTTCCCATTTGAGGCCCTGGGAACCTACCACTCTGTTTAATCACCTTGATCTTAGACTTAATATCATCCTTGTCAACCTGATACCTTTATGATGAATGCCAATCACTGTCCATGTCAGCTGCATCAAATGTCAAAACTACCCCCTTCATTCAGTTTAACATCCATCTTTTTATGTTCTGTAGACCACATTTAGCGCTCCACTTGGAAGCTCACCACTGGCTCTAGACATGGGAAGCATGGGCAAAGGTCAAGTATGGATTAATGGGCAGAGTGTCGGAAGGTACTGGCCTGCTTATAAAGCAGCATCAGATGGCTGTGGCGAATGCAACTATGCTGGAACTTACAATGAGAAGAAATGCTCAAGCAACTGTGGAGAAGCTTCACAACGATGGTAAACATATAAAATATTTGCTCAATGTTGCCCTTTAATTTGCTAGTTGGGTTGATCCTAGAAATCTGAACTATGCCACCTTAACCTTTCCAGGTACCATGTTCCTCGTTCGTGGCTAAAGCCAGCTGGGAATTTGTTGGTTGTTTTCGAGGAATGGGGTGGAGATCCGAACGGCATCTCCCTCGTTCGACGAGAAGTGGACACCATATGTGCTGATATCTACGAGTGGCAGCCGACTCTGATGAACTATCAAATGCAAGCCTCGGGGAGAGTGAACAAACCACTGAGGCCCAAAGTTCACTTGTCTTGTGGCGCTGGCCAGAAGATGTCATCGATCAAGTTTGCTAGCTTCGGTACTCCAAAAGGGACATGTGGAAACTACCAGCAAGGGAGCTGTCATGCCTTCCACTCATACGATGCCTTCAATAGGGTAATTCATGATTGAGCTGTTGCATCCTTTTTTGGTTTGGCCAAACTCACCATTTGCCCTTCTGTACCTCCAGCATTATGATTGATCTCATGTTTGTATCAAATGTCTGTATCTGCAGCTTTGTGTTGGCCAGAATTGGTGCTCGGTGACTGTAGCGCCTGAGATGTTTGGTGGAGATCCGTGCCCCAATGTGATGAAGAAACTTTCAGTGGAGGCAGTATGCAGCTGATGAATTGAAAAGGAGTGCAAGTTCAAAGTTTTGAGTTCCATGTTCTTTACACTGTTTCCTATACAGCAGCAGCAGCAAGCAACCATTTGTTTCGGTGGCTTTCGTGGGGGTGAAAGTTGTACAAATATACAGCACACCTTCCGTCTGAAAGCCATACGTTCTCGTCTAGATTGTGGGTAAAGAAGATTATTCCAGAGGAAGCTCTTAATTTATGTACATAGTGAAGAATTGTAGCAGTTGGTTATAAGAACTGGTCCGTGCCATTCAAGCAATTCTGGAAGTAGCAGCAGCAGCAGCAGCAGCACAAGCACATTGAGATAAACCAGTAAGGGAATCCATGTGCAGGAATTTTCCAGTGTAATTAGAGTATGGGGGAACAAAAGCCTCCAGCTTTGGTACTATGTTTCTTAAGGTTATCTATTCTATCTATTCTATCTGTGAAATATTTCTGGTTTGCCTGTTGAATTCAGACCAGTGTTGATAATTTCGATCTGATACGCTCAACGAGTCGTTTTGTGAGTTTTGCTTTTGCTCATCTCATCTCTCAGTTAATTTGATTTCACTTTTCATTCCCTCAACGATGTAACAAGAATCACATATAGAAAGATGGATAGATGTATGTGTAAGAAAATGGATCAACTTATGGTAAACTCTGCACTCCAAGCAAAATTACTCCACCAGAGTCCAGAGGAGAGAACCTAGCTTGCGCCAAACCCTTAATTGCCAAGAAAAGCATCGAGGGACTATCAGCTACTTGGAATGACCGCAAATGGGCTGGTGGGCTTTACATCATCATCATCATGTAGTGTAGTGGGGACTGTCATTTTGGGCTGCCTGAAAAAGGTACCGTCGGCTTGCTAATTAAGCAAGGAAAGAAAGTAGACCACTCTGTCTGTCTTTGGTCAGTCAATCCATGTCAAAAGCAGCTGCTGGATGAAAGATAACTTTCACCGCCGTAACAAGTACTTGTCTGTCTTAGTTACTTTCACAGTTACACCACCTGACTCATGATTAGTGGTAATTAAGTTGGATCGAATGAGGTCATTAAGATTCGGCTCGATGTTTACTGGACAAGTTGGTCGGCAAATAGGAAGTTTAAGGGACTATATGCATTGGAGTTGTAGTCTTACGGTAAAAAAAAAAAAATCATTACAATTATTATTGTGTCGTGTAAAAAATACGGGTTTTCGGCCACGTGTGGTTGTTTAACGAGATATAGTAGATGAGAATCAACAGGAATTTGAGAAAGAACTATGGATTAGAACAAGAATTGATGATTAGAGAATGACAAATAGAATTGGCAAAATTGCAGAAGAACGACCAATGACCTTGACAGGGAAGAAGGAACGAGATTTGGAAGGATAAAGATTAGGGTTCGGGAGATAATTTTTTTAACATAATCTTTGCTTAACTTCGACATAATAACTCGAGTACATATTTATAAAAAAATACTGAAAAAATGTAATAATGAAACTAACAATGTCCGATTTTTATTTAGCCGCCTAGCCCTCACGAGTTATGATAGTAATAATAATAATATCTCTAATAATAGAGTATAGGTTATAATACAAATTGTATGAGCAATGTTTGAGATGGTGTGATATAATGGTCATCTTTGTAGAGGGTAAGAACCGAAGTAGGGTTTGAGGGCAGCTGGGTGGACTTTTTTTTGGGGCTGACTTGAATATCTAAGTTGTAGTTTATGCACTTTTCAAATTTCCAACTGATGATACCTTATTCGTTTACATAGAATTTTAAAAATTTTGGGTAGAAAAATCATATTTTTTTTTACTCTACAAGAAGATTTTCATTCTGATATTTTTTGGAGCAAAATTTTTTCACATAATCTTACTAATGTCATATCATGATAATTGGTAAGATGATGTTGTCAGCCTAAACATACAAAGATCAAAATACAATAACAATTAGATAATATTATGAAACTTACAATAGATTTATGATAGTGGTATGATAACATGAAGTCATCGTTTATCAATAATCTTTATGTCATTATACCACGGTCATATATGATATTATCATATTGTTAATATAATGATATGACAGTGGTATGATCTTGATTTTAGTTTTACCATAATGAGGTTCATAACTAATGAGGTTCTATCTATGAAAATATTTAAATTTCAACTAAAAGCGAAGGATATATATCGTAACAATGATAAGATTTAAGCAAATGTGTGTTTGGAAGACTATTTTTCAAACTACAGCAAAATCAATATCATTGTTAGATCATAATTAATGCATATGCAAAATTCTTAAATTGTGTATTAAAATGAAGGAGATATGACCCGATTTTGAAGAATGTGAGATTCAAAAAGATAGGTTGTGACTGGTCAAAAGTCTTATCTCTCTTCTTTGAATTCCGTGTCAGTAAAAAAAAGATGCAAAAGTTATCAGTTTGCCCCTCCATGTCTTACATGGGTTGTGAGTAGGGATGGCAACAAAACCCGAACCCACGGGTACCCACCCGACCCAACCCGGTCAACGCGGATAAAATCCGTTTTGACGGGTTTTGGGCCGGCCATGATTTAAACTCGTTCACTATTCACCGGGTTGGGTTTGGGCTTAGGTAAACCCGACCCATATAATTAATTTTCTCGACATATTTAATATTCTAAACAACTAATCTTATTTATGTTTGTGGAGACATGCCTAATTTTTTCTTTCTAGTTATGTAGCATGAAGTTGATGTTATCGAGTGGAGAGTGAAAAACTTAATTGAAAAGAAAAAGCTTTCAATTAATCATGTTATTTATGGATAATTTGTGATTTGCTTAAATTTTCTTGAGTTTTTTAGATTGGTGTTGAACAATTTATATAGTTAATTTGTGATTTGCTTGAATTTTCTAGAATGGTGTTTTATATATGGATAATTTGTATCGGGAGATTGATATTTGACTTTAATTTTGATAGGAATTTGTTATTGTGAAATTTTTACGACAAAAACCCGTGGATACCCATGAACCCGCGGATACCCAGCGGGTTGGGTTGGGTTTGAGTTTTTCAAACCCAATGGGTTTTACCCCGGTTTTTTTTCACGGATAAACCCACTGGTTTGGGTTTGGCAAAACCCGACCTAACCCGACCCATTGCCATCCCTGTGAGTCATCTAAATCAAAGCTAATGGACGACTCAATATATGAGTTTTGTAGGATTTTGTTGAAAAAAGCAGTTTGTACTCTATCCGCTCTCATATAATAGCGTGTTTCTAATGTTACCTCTCCTTTGAGACCAACCTTATCCTCAAGGTTGCACCCAATGTAAACACTATGGTTTCATTTGGATTCGGGTTTTTAATTTGTGGGATTTTGGCTCAAATCACTGGTTCAAAAACCCAGGTTTTTAATTTGTGGGATTTGTGTGGGATTTTAAAATAGCTGATCACCATCAGCTATTTCATAATCCCACAATTGTGGGTTTCTGAAATCTCTAATATTTAAAATCTCTTATCATATAATTGTTTTCCAAACGAGTGATTTTAATTAAAATCCCACACTATGTAGGATTGTGCCCAAATCCTGCATCCAAATGACCCCTATTGGTTTTTCATGCTTTCGCTGCGATATCTCAATGTTTTTATTGTTGTTGTTTGTGTATTCTCATCTTCCAACTAAATTTAGGCACTCGAACGAATCCAACACTAACAACTCCTTCGTAAATAAACCTCCCTTAGATAACCGTCGACTTAATGATTCCATTGTTCCCTGCCACTTGTAGCCCAAATTTGAACTACATTGCTAGGACCCTTTACTTTGGATTTCCCCCGAAATTCATGGTGAGGGCGTGCTCTAAGAAGCTATTGGAAAAGTTTCTAAGCATCATACATAATCTCAGAACTACACTGCCCAAAGCAAGACATATGGACCTCTACTTCAAGGAGGTTTTGGGATGGACCGAGACTTAGGAGCAACCATCTGACTTATGACGTGAAAGAAGCGCTTGTTGAGAGGCAACCCAAGCACTTTGGTTTGCCATTTCCTTCATTTCCTTTGATTTCCGAGTCAATAAATTGACCTTCGTGGGCTTTTTGGACCTCACCTATCCTCTTGTCACATCCACTATAGTTCACACTTGATCCGCTAACTTCATTCTATCCTCCTTATCTTTACTCCATTGAGGATAATGTCGTTCTTAGGTAGGGGGTGTTCCATTATGCTTGTGTGTGTGAATGAATGGTGTGAATGTGAATGTTTGAAGCCTAGTTTTGTATGCCCAAATTTCAAAAATTTGAGGGCTCCAAGTACAAATGTGAATGAACTCTTTTGCTACATTGAGAGTGTTTGGGGCCTAGTATTGCATGCCAAATTTTCAAAATTTGAGTTCTCCAAATAGGGATGACAATCAAACCCATGACCATGGGTATCTGACTGTCCCGACCCAGTCAAAGCGGGGAACCCCCGCTTTGCCTGGGTATGGGTAAAACCCACAAATTTGATGGGTATGTGGTGGGTATGGTTTTAGTCTCCCCCGCCCCATACTCATACCCGCCCCACCAAGAGAATTTCTTCACATATAATTAATGTGTTGATTAAATTGTAACATATCAATGATAATAAAGATAACTCGCGAAAATAAATAGTAAAAATACAATTGAGTGGCCACCATAATCAAAATCTAATTCATTTTCCTCAATTCTTTCTTCACTCTTTCACTTTCCCCTTTGTCAACAATATTATGTTAATTAATTATTACTTAGTAGATGTATCAGAGTTAAAGCATAATAATTTGGAAAATATTATACTCTAAATTATGTATTAATGGATGTTTTTGGATCATATTCTTTGAACCGTATTAAGAAAATGACCGTGTTTTATTGTCTTCATGATATAGTAGGTTCGCTCAGTGTTGCAATTAAAAATTTTCTTGTAAAGTTTTAGTTATAATAATGTTGGACATACGGGGCTGGTATTACCCATGGGTATGGGGATGAGTTTGCAAAACATTTCCTGCATGGGTATGAGGCGGGTATGGGTATTTGAAAACAGTGATGGGGATTGTTTAGGCAAACCTGCCCCAATGTTATTCCTAGCTCCAAACACCTTGTCCCATGCTTATACTTGCTCACTTGTGCTTGAATCGTTAGATACCATGGTAGCTTGCAACTTAGGGAGACTTATGTTGAACTGTGTTGATCAATGTGTTGTTTAGCGGTCATATGATATGTGATTGGTGTATTGTGGATGAATTTCTTCTTGTTGTGGACTTGAAATATTTGAATGAAAAAGGGTGTTCCAAATGTGATTTTAAATGAAAAAAAGTGTCTCACTTGAGTGGCAACCGAACATAGTGTTTAAGTTAAGTAGTCAAATGTCTTTTCTTTCGGACCAGGTGCCCTTTTAGGATGTGTTAGGGGGAAATCTGGATAGCTTTCTAGCGTCTAACCTTCATATACTACTTTTCATCTTCCCTTAAACACCTTTCCTCCTTACAGGACTTGATAGGGAGGAGATAGTGCACCTCTACTCAAGTAGGAAGACCTCTGCTCTTGCTCTTGCTATTATCTCACATGTGTGGCAACTCATCTTTGTTAGACAGGAGTGAAGGCATGTAATTGGTACTTAGGAGAACCGAATTCACATCCGAACGCTTCACATCCGAACGCTTCACCTTCCTACCCTATTCAATCCTCTCAACCATCACTTTCCCCACATGAGGCTAAGAAAGAGAAGTCAATGTCAGTTTTTCTATAAGCTAAGCTATGAGATAGAGAGTCGCGTTTGCAAAATAAGTAAGTGTGTCGAGTGGGACGATCAGATAGCTTTATAGCATCCACCATTCACCTACTATTCTTCGTCTCTACTAGACACCATTTTGAAGGTCGAAGGTTCTTATCCTAGCTCTTCTTTTGACATAAATGTTGTCTACTAACGATCAGGGTTGCTTGCTACCTTGGGGGATCTATTGAGTTGCACCATTTTAAGTAGGTTTTCTTTGGGACAAACAAACGGTTAAGACTGGGGGAGTATGATTTGTTCTTAATTGTACATGTTTATCCTTCATTTCTTGATTGGTTGACTTGGTGATCGTCATTAGGGCTAGGAAAATAGACCAACCAGACCGTTTGAAAAACCGTGGACCAAACTAGACCGCATAGTTTTGTCCGGATCGTAGATCGTGAGAAATGGTCTGATCTGGTCCATGGTCTGTATTATATAAAGTTTTGTTCTCTTGGTTTGGTCTGGTCTAGACCATGGTTTATTGGACCAAACCGTGGATCTAGCCAACTTCCCAATACATGTTAGTAACCTAGTAGACCACTCTCTTAACTCCCTCAAAGAGCTCAAGTCTCAACGCTAATTTTGAGGATCTTGTCCCCTTTTTCATTCATAACCACATTTCACTAGAGAGTAGAAACGATCTGTCTCCATATGCCATTATGTTAATGTTTATGATGTTATGATGCAAGTTGGGATGCTTCGACTCTATATCTTTGTTATGTACTATGATTTAGGGTGTCAAAATTATTCATACATGTTGGGTTTTATGTAGTTGACTTAACAAAGTGTTCATTTTTCGTTTGATAGGGTCTATATGGACCAGACCGTACAGGCGTGGTCTGGTCTAGACCGTATTGTATGTGGTTTGGTCTTTGATATATACTCTAGCCTCTTAGTCTGGACAGTAAACCGTATATATGGTCTAAAACAAAAATGTACCATTTCCCAGCCCTAATCGTCATTCCTAGGCCTATTACATTTTAGGTCCTAGTACGTGGGGAAAGCTTACGACTAGGTTGTGTTGCTTTTGTCACATTTTCGGTCCTATTACGTGGGGAAAGCTTACGAGCGAGTTTCGGGGCATTGAGAGGACAAAATGAGCCAACAAGTAGAGGTTGTGTGAAAGTCACGATCAAAGTTGCCAAAATCACGACCTAGTTGTGGCATCTACAACTATGGTAGTGAGACGATGCAAAGAGGCAGGAGGAAAGTGCAATCTCACGACCAAAGGGTCAAGTCGTGACTTTGCTTAAGTGGTCATGAGAAGGTGCAAAACGACAACATTTTTTGGTTTAGAGTCACGACCAAATGTTAAATCTCATGGTCGTGAACCTGGTCATGAAAAGAGCATTGTGGGTTGTATAAAAGGCAACAATGGGTATTGAAGGGGGAGATCTGGATTTTCACCCAAAAACAAATGGTCAATTTCTAGAGAGAGAGAGAGTGATCTTGGGGCTGAATTGGAGGCTTGGATCATCAACGAAGCTTGAAGATCACCCATGTAAGATGAAGATTGAAGATCTTGGGCATGTAATAATTTCTCTCTCCTCTCTATGAATTAGTTCTCCTGCTTAGGTTGATAAACCCTAGTTCTAGATTTTGGATTGATTGTTGATGTATGTGACAAATCCTATGATTGACTACTCATATTATCTATTTGATTGATATTTATGATGAATTGCATGAGTCTTGATCCCACCACATGTCAATTATGCTTTGACTTAAGAGAAAGAATATCTCCATAGGTTCAATATAGCCACTTCAATCCTTTATCATGTGTCCTTGAACGAGTGTGATTGGATCCATAGTGTCAATTGGGTCTTTGCCCTCTAGCGGGAATCAATTATGAATGGCTTAGTTGGCTAGGTCGGTTGTTGGTACGCCTCGTCAGAGTCGAGCAATTGAGTGACTTGGACAACTTGAATAGAGAATCCAATTGAGTCAAGGATTCTGCGTGGAGTCAATCAATCTAGGGTAGTACTCAACATCGTCCTAATGGAGGAACTAGGGGGATTCATGCCTAAGTGAGCTAATTAGCCAGATTAGTGGTTAGAGTAGCTTAGTTAGTTTAGTTTCTTAATCACTATTATAGTTTGGATAGATATCAGAACCAAAGTGAAGTAACGTAGAGGCACGTGGATTCAATTTGATCTTTACTTACCCTATACTACACAATGTTGTTGGTGATGCTTGGTCTTTGATTGGGATAGTTGTATTTAAAGCGAGTCAAGAGACCACCTTGGCATATGTGTGGCAGCGTTGTGAGTAATTTGAGATGCTGCTAAACTATAAGAGCTGAACTGAAGGCGCGATGGAGGGGCTAAAACTTGCTAGACAAAATGGGTACATGAAGGTTCAGTTCAATCTTGATTCCCATTACTAAAGCTACTCATCAAGTAGTGCATGGAGAATGATTACCAACACGGACTCCTAACACAACATATTAGGGATCTTTTGAACTTCGATTGGGATGTTGTTTCGCATGTTTACATAGATTATAATATCAAGTATATTTCTAACCTTCTAAGAAGCATTGTTCCCTATGTAGAGAATATATTCAGTACGAATGATCTAAACTATGACAATGATTAACGTAAGATATTATGAGTCACTCAAAATCTTTCAAGTAGTATGAATTAAGACGATTTCTACCATCTACAAATATATTATAGCAAAGTAGCGGGCAGTTTTTGAGCATTTCGAATTTTCTGCAACGAGAGGAAAAGTAGGAAAGGTAATTGTGTCTTCACAATCATTATTTATTTTTCATTCATAAGAAAAAAAATCAATCTCAGGATTCAAACCACGGTCTTTCCAAACGAAGACAACAACCATTACCAGTTACACTAAAGAAACGTTTTTATCTTTTTAAATACAAAATCTGCAAACCTAAAATCTAAAAAGTATATGACTTTTTCACTATTGTTAGCTAGCCCACTAACTCTCGAAAGTACTTTCTTTGTTATTTGATTTTTAATTTTTATATTTTGATTATTTTAATTTGAGTTTAATAGTAAATTTAATTTATGTCCTCTTACAAATGGAGAATAATTTTAAAATTGCAACCCAAATAACATTGATTCGAATATTGCATATTGAATTGAAATATTAAATGTGTAGATGTGATGTATAATTCTTAAATTGGTATTAATGTTTAGAACTATCAAAGCAACGATATTGTTATGTAAACTGTAAGTGACTAGTTTTTTGAAAGTTTTAGTTTGGTTAATCGTTGAATCCTAAATTTCTTTATAATATGGCATGTTTGGAAAAATGAGTGAGTTTAAAAGCACACAATTTATGAATACCAATTTATATAGATGATTTTAATAGGGTAATTGACTAGATGTATCATTCATAGTTACTTAGTTTAATATGAAATAACACAGTACAAGACAAATCATGAAAGTCAGGCTGGAGTTTTCATGGACGCGTTGATGGGGTCATGTGCATTAGCAATGTAGGTGCCACAAGATATGTTTAATGTTTTTGTTGAGTGAATAAGATTGTCCTTCAACTAAATTTAGAGTATCTTTGTTGATAAATAATTTTTTCATTGCATAGAGTATGGATGGAGAATGTTCTTTTCTTACTAATTTTGTTATTGTATTATATATAATACTTTAAGGTTTAGATATTGCTATAAATAATATATGTATTGTTTCTCAAGCAAAAGAAATAAATACTAACTAAAGGTTATGATCATGAGTTTCCTATTTATACTACGCTTTTTCAGACAAACTCTTTTTTTATGTCAATTTTCTTTTCAACCATAGACACCTAAGTGACTATATCATTAAATAAACAAGTTATGAATGGTTATTCATAAGTGTTATAACCAAGGTTGTGACACCTCTACTGGGCGATTGGTTGGACTAGGTCCGACCAAAGTCATGCTCCAAAACAGACTCTACAAAATCAAGAGTCTGATCGTTATAGAGGGAGAAGAAGAGAGAGGTAAGGAGGAGGGGAGGGGGAGGGGGAGGCAAGGGGATGGTGGGTGGATCTTGAGATATGCATGTTTTTGTATGGAATTTGACTATTTGAGTTTTTAATAGATACAAGTTAGTATATTGTATTTCAGTCACTAAATTTCTATCTTATATGTAAATATATTTAGAAAAGGTGTAAAACGGCTCAAACATGTTAGACCTCAATCAAACCATTAAACTACAAACCACTTACTTGACCGGCTCAATGATTTTAACTGGTTTGACAACTTTGGTTATAATAATTAAGATTACAATGTTCACCATTGATGAAAATTATAAGAATTTCGAAAATGAAAAAATAATTTCGATGTCACCTTAGTGTCATACGAAATTCAACATTTCAATTAATTTAAAAAATTTAAATACACATCATAAATACATTGTGTTCAAATGACATTTAAATCAATAGGTCGGGTCGGACAACAAGCTAATACTAAAAGAAAGAATAGTCAGGAAACGAAGAATTGAGGGTGAATGGAGAAAGGAGGAAGAACAAATAAAATATCAGCAAAGTGGTGTCGCTCGCTCACATCTTCCCTTCCCCTACAAAAATATTCCAGAGAATAGCAAAAGGGGAAAGCCTTCTCCTTCTCTTCTCCTTCCTCCTCCCCTCTCCTCCTCTCTCTCCATCCCTGCACACAATTGGGTTCTCTTTTGTCTCTTTCCCACTTCATGACGCGTTTGCTTCAATGGCGGCTCTCGCCATAGCTTTCGCTTCTTCATATCTCTCCCATCTTATCCCCGCTGCTCCAGTTTCTCAGTATTTCTCCTTCTTCTCATCCACAACCCACAAAACCCAACCTATGCTGCTCTCCCACCTCCTCGCTTTCTTCTTCTTCTCCTTCGCCTTCTCCCTCTCCTTCTCCTTCTCTCTGTTTTTCCTCTGCAGAAGTCTGAGGAGGCATAGGCGAGAAGAAGAGCCACTTCTTCTCCGAAACCCGGTTGTCAAAGCCGAATCTTTGTCGAAATTGATTCTAACCCGCGAAAACGAGAACGGCCATTTGCCTCATTCCCTCCTCCTCGAAATTTTGCCATCCGATTCCCCAAAATGGGCTGCTCTGTTTAGCGGTGACCCGGATGGAGCGGTATCGGGTCCTGGGGATGGTTCATCCGCCGGTGGAGAATCGCTTAAGTTGATAAAGAAGAAGAAGAAGAGAGCGAGGAAGAAGCGATTGGATTCGAAGGTGGTTGATGAGAATGCTGGCGGTGGGTGTAAAGAAGAGAAGGATTTAGATGGGCCGGGTTTGGATTCGGGTTCGTTTAGTGTGAAACCGGAGTTGGTTTGTTTGTACCCGTTTACATCAGCCAGCAGTGCCACCCAGAGGAAGATTAAGCAGCAGTATGACCAACTAGTGAAGTGCAATGAAAAGAGAGGATTGACATTGGCTCAGGTTTCCTTCATTTCCCTCTTTCCCTCTTCTCAAATTGGTGACAATTTGAAGTATTTTGCTTCAAGTTTCAAATGAGTTCGATTGCAGCTTGTTTTTTCTTGATCTCTTGCATTTTGCCTTGCCATTCTGGTGACGAAGGGTGTCGAATTTGATCAGGGGAGTTCAACTCATTTCATTTCTTCTTCTATCTTGCTTGCATTTGGGAATATAAGATTGGATCCCTCTGAAGCAATTCCTTGCTTATGAAACTGTCTATTTCCCTTCCATGTTTCAAGTAATTAATTGGCAATGTGCAAATTCTGTGAGTTTAGAAGCAGATGAATCAATTCGATTGTAGCATCATTTGACTTTTATATGGGACTTGGATATGCCTCAAAACAAGAAAGTTTGAATCTTGACATCAGGTGACCACCATGCTGTTGGATGGAGTAACTGTAATGCTGAAATGCTGACAATATATCCCTGAGCTTTCTTTGTGATGAACTGGTTAAAATTTGAAACAACACTAGTATAGCATCCTTGGTTGTGATGGCCCCATAAAGGTTTTTGGGGTAGAGTTTGTGCCTGTTTGTTCGCTGGAATTTTCAAATGCTGTTACAAATGTGCTCCATGATGCTATAGGCATGTAACATTTTGGCCATGACAAAGTAGCAATTACTGTGTTGAATCTTAGAATTATTATGTGGTAACTTGGATGTTGTCAGTATGAGAGAAGTTTAACTCAGTTGAAGTTCCGGCTTGGCTTATGTTTACATGATGGTGGAACTTATCTTTGTGCTTCCATATTATTTGGTCTGCCTGATATATGATACGTGTAGCTATCAGATCCCGAGGCCATAGCTCTTAAGTAACTAGGAACACTGTAGTATGTAACGCCGATATCTTATTGACTTCAACTTTCATTGTTTTCCAGGTTGCAGAGTTTGCTAATTGCTTGGTCGAGGCTAGAACCGAGTTGCAGCACAAGTATGTTAAAATTTCTTCTAGGATCTACATCTGTGGTCTATCTTTGAATATATCATGTAGAACCATAAAGCTCCCATTCTGCTTGACAATTGTCAATGGGTCTAGCAGTTTTCTTTTGAATTTTATGTACCCTAGTTTATCTATGAGTGATCATAATGTTTCAGTCCAATATGCAATTGTGCAATAAGGCGTTACAATTGCAAAACAAAATACTGACTTCGGAATCACCAACTTTAAATTGGGTTCAGGTCAGAGGTAATTAAGCGGAGGTTCACGATAACCAAAGCTCTATTATTCAAGGCAGACAGATCTTCAATAGATCGCCTTCGTCAACAGGTGTGTATCTGAATGGCGTCACATTCAGCTTTTGCTTGGCTCTTGATTGCCGTTGATTTGAACTTTTCTCTCTTCAGATATACAAGCTAGAAGTAGAACAAAAGAGATTAGAAGAGGATGCATTTGTTTATAATTGGCTTCAACAGCAGCTTAAACTCTCACCTGCATACAAAAAGGTACATCTTTTGCCTTCAATGCATGATCAGTGAATTGTAAATATGTGCTTCTTCACCTCTTTAATGCTCTCGTATTTAAGATGCTTGAAATCAGTGCCAGCATGGAGAAAGAGACCAAGACTAGTGACATGATGGATGAGAATGATGCTGAATGTGCTGATATTTCATTTGAAGAGCTATTAGCACAAGAAAAGAAGGACTCATTTTGGTCGGTTCCTTACAACATTCAGTTATTACCTCGTTACGTGAAATGCAAGCTGGTTACTAACTTTCTTTGCCCTAAATGTTGAACAGGCAGAAGAATGGGAAGTCGCGAACACGGACGAGTTATTGAGAGATGGCATTGCCATGGTGCGGGTTATTAGCAAGCTTGACGCTCGAAGTACCACTAGGAATCACGGTTTTCCGTCACCACCTGGTGGCCTGCTGCTTGTGAGCACGAGGTGTTGAACTGAAGGAATCGGGACTCTGCTAATACTGCTGGTTGCGCATGGGTCTTCCCATGCAAGCTAATTAATGTCCTGTAGGAGTAGTGTCTCCATGAATTTTGGCCTTTTTTTTTGTGGTAATAATGGTTTCTTTACAGTTGTTTGCTGAGACCTTGGGTGGATGGCCTAATCCAGCATGTGCCTAGGGCTGTGCCACAGGTTTATCAGTTACATCCCCAGGTTTATCAGTTGCATAATGTAACATCACTAAATTGAGATGGAAGCTCATTTGATGAAATGAGATTGGTAATGGTTTCTGGAGGGCTTAAGGTTCTTAAAGAATGATGGGTATTTGAGTGGAACCAAAGATGTTTAGCACTTTCTTATTTCATTAAAAAAAAAAAGAGAGATGGAGGATACAGGGGGCAAGGAACAAACTTTGGTTGCTGAAGTTTGTGCCATTGAAGGAACAAACTTGGTCGCTAAATGATATTTAGCAGGTGAAGTTTGGGAGAATGACTTGCGTAAGAATCACTGTCTAACATAATTTAACTGAGGTAGCACATTTTAACTCATTTCAAGTCAAATCAAATTTCAGCCTGCATAACCCAAAATCTTGCTCGAATACTACAACGATTTTACAATTGAACAGAGCTAGACAAAGTTACTATTATTTTTGTTATTCGAATTTTAATGACAAGATCATTAGGAGTTTGACTGTCTATTCGAATTGAAGACATGGACCGATCGGCACACGCTATTTATACATTGACAATAATCGGAAATTACTATCCTGTGATGTCACGACTATGCTGCCAATAATCAAATATTCAAATTAATAAGCAATTTCCAGGCCATCGAGTTGGCAAGTTAGAAATAAGAAACTGGGTTTTACAACACTCAAAAATAGGATACTGGCTCCAATCCATAGAAAACCAAGTTTTGCTATTACAAACACGAAAAGAAAAAACTACAACTGTCTGTGCTTTTGCATTCTAATGGTACACCAAAGTGCAACGTGTGGTCTACATTACCCTGTCAAATCTTCATCCATGGAATTAAGAGTCTGTCATATGGAAGTTAATAAGTAGAAGGAAAGAACAGCAAGCCAAGGCCGCTAAATCTATCGGCAGCAGCAGGAACATCGAAGGACCAAAACACCCGTGTAAAGGTCGCCAGCTTTCTTCTGGTGCAAGCAAGCATCAAGCCTCAGCAAAACACAAAACTGGACTAAGATTAGCTCAGCTGCATGGTTTTGAACTTGGAACATAATGTGCATTCTTCTTCCATCAGTCAATTTTCACAGACGAGTATATCTTCCTAACAAACCAGAAGCAGGCATAGAACCCTATAGTTCCAGTCAAGACGAAGAACGCATACGAAATGATCACCATATACCCGAAGTAGAGGACCCCTGAGACGAACTTTGAGATCTCCAACTTGGTGAAGAAGTAGAAGATGGAGTATAGGAAAAGGTAAACAGCAGAAGAACCAGCAGTGAGATAGGACCTCCACCACCAGTGGTAGTCCTCACTACACAGTTGGAAGTAGCATAACACGATCGTTATCTCAGCACAGGTGATCAACAAGATGACAAACACTATGAAGAGGAAGCCAAAGATGTAGTAGAACTGGTTCAGCCAGATCGAGGTCAAGATGAAGAAGAGCTCGATGAAGACAGCACCAAATGGGAGAATGCCGCCAATGAGGATGGAGAAGACAGGCTTCATGTACCATGCTTGCTCTGGGACCTGCCTCGGGATCTTGTTCGTTTTGACAGGATCTTCGACAGCTGGTTTCTTGTAACCCAAGTAACTACCGACGAAAACAAGTGGGACAGAGATACCAAACCATAAGCAAACCAGAGCAAACATGGTTCCGAAAGGGACTGCACCTGAAGACTTCTCTCCCCAAATGAGAGCATTCAGGACAAAGAATACAGCAAAGAGAATACCCGGGAACATGAATGCGGTTTTCAGGGTGTTTCTCTTCCACTCTGTGCCCTTGAACATTTTGTAGAGACGTGCCGAGGAATATCCAGCGAATATCCCCATGAAGACCCACAAGAGTACCATTGCAGTCATAAGGCCACCTCGATTGGAGGGAGAGAGAAAGCCAAGTAATGCGAATATCATAGTGACCAAAGTCATACCAAAGATCTGGACACCTGTACCGAGATAAACACAGAGTAAACCAGCATTCACCGGTGCCCTGAATACATCCCCATGGACGAGCTTCCACCCCGTTTCCTCCTGGGCCTCATCCTGTGTTTCCAACTGGTTGTAGTTTGCAATGTCTCTGTACAGAGTTCTCATCATGATCATGGCTACCATTCCAGAAAGGAAGAGGACAATCATCAACGAGTTGATGATAGAGAACCAGTGGATTTGATCGTCATTCATCAGGAGGTAAGTGTCCCATCGTGAAGCCCACTTGACATCGCTTTCCTGAAAAGGATTTGGTTGAAGGAGAGATCAGAAACCGAAATGAGTACTATATTCTAGACGAACGGTAACAAGGAAAAGAGTGTTTTAGGGGAGTACCTGGAAGATCACATCGTACGTGAACACCACCTCTTTGCTCGTATCAACTTCTTGAGGGACAATGCTACCTTGAATTAGCTTTTTGGTATCCTTGTTGCAGGTAGTCAACTGAGTGTTCTGCTCATTCCATTCCTTGTATTCATGATTGATGCTGTTAATGGGGAAAGAATCGACAGGAAGTTATAGCAAGTTAAGAGCAGATACATACGCAACATCAACTCATTTGAGAAGGGAACATGGGGAAAACCTGTTTGGAGTAACTTCGAACCCAACAATTCGGGCGGATTCAGATTCAGGATCCTTGTGATACATAACTCTATACACCAAGTGATTATTGATGAAATATTTCTCCTCTTTACTCTGTGGAGAAACCGAAACAAACCCACAAGATACCAGTCAATCAACAAATAAAAAGAGGACAACAAACAAACAGGAAGACTATGTGGCTGGAATGCTACTGAAGCATACCCCTGCATAATTTCCTTTGAACCCAACTCGGAAACCATGTTCGTAAGTAGTTGACTGACCACCATCCCTCCTCTGTCTTAGGACAGCAACAGGAAGATTATCCAGTATCCTGCAGACACATCTCTCAACTATCAGCATGAGTAAATAATGTTCATTATTCTACACAAAAATTAACATCCAGCCATTAACCCGAGATAAGGATGCTGAACTGGAAGGACTTGAATTTTTTTACTTACATGTTAACCCGATACTCATCATCGATCTTTTCCTTAAAATTCTTTGCCGCTTCAGCATCCAGTGTTGCCCGACAAGCTATTTTGCAGGATTGATCTACCATCATTTCAAACTGAGGTAGATTTTACAATTTACATAAGACCAAGGTAACACAAGGCCTTCAGTTTAATAGTACTAGTTTAGTTATCATTACCAACAAATATGATGCTCAATAGTATATAATAACTTACACTGTACATTGAATTTTCAATGCGGTCCCCTCTAAGGACCTCCCCCAAGTTTTCGGCACTATTCTCAATCTTTGGAGGCTTACAGTACTTCAAAAAGTAGTAGTCATATGGGAGTTGTGTTTTTGTAGATGACAACTTGTTCACTTTCACATTAAGGAGGTTGCCCTGTTCAAAGACACAACCAAAATTAGTAGGAGGCAAATCAGCAACTTGGTGATCTTACATCCATAGATATGTTTTATTAATTCTGTTTTGAAGGAACATTTCAAATATCACATCCAAAAGGTGATACCGGAAACTTGTGCAAGCGAATCAGCATGAACTCTGAAATATTAACGAGCCTTCATATTTGTAAAAACCTATTGTAATTCTGAATTTTTAATTGTTAATGACCGAGATATGGAAAGACAGATCAGAGCTTATCACTACCCAAGCTTGTCCTTGTCTTGGTCCGCTCTAGTTCAGAACTGTCCTGAATATACTAAAATCACTTATAACACCATAGCTTATCTGCTCAGAAACTCTATCTAAGGAAACATTTCTATTATTGAAATGACGAATGATAATCATTTAAATGAGGATAGTAATCCACTAAGATAATGCTAACGAGTAATCACTAAGGAACCATATCATCATCTCATCCTCGCAACACAAAATATCAGAGCTTTAGACGAACTGAAACAGAGATGGAAGGATCAGAAACCAAATGAAATTCGTCCTAAAATGAGCTTGACACCCTGAGCCAGATTTTACTAACTACAGATAGAAGCATGCAAAAGCCACTACAGGGAAAGAACCCAGATCAGATACTAACTAAAACCCCAAATGGAAAACAAAAATAGATCTATAAGAACCAGTATGATAGATCAAAACCCCGAGCAATAAAAACCCCTAGATCCAGCCTCCATTTCATCCATCAGAATAGCAAACAAACAGAAATGGACAACAAACAACGAAGTGAGACACAACCCATACACCAAAAAGATTAAAGATGTAGAGATAAAGCTAAGCTCACCCGCTGGAAGTCACGCGGGGCGACACCGGGGAGGTAAAAGGCGTGGACGGAGGAAATAAGGAAGAAAGCGACGAAGAGGGTTGCCGTAGCAGAGAACCCGCCGATCATCTTCGGGAGATTGGCGAAGGTCTGAGAGCGCAAGTTGAAGAAGAAGAAGATGGCTGTAGAGTAAGAAGATTGGTGGTGTTGGTGTATTAGCAAGGAGATCAATTTTCGTTAATGCCACTCTTCATCTCCTTTGTTCGTTCCGCTCAAAATTTTTAGAAGAAAAGGGATTTTTAGTTTGGAGTGATAGAAGAAAGGTATTGGTTAGAATGCATAGCATTCAAAGTTGTGAAACCGGTTATGTTTGATAAGTGGTACTGTGGTATGGTTCTATGTAGGGATGGCAATGGATCGGGTCGGGGACGGATAGTGCATATCCGTTACCCTACCCAAAGTAGTTCGGGTTTACCCATACCCATACCCATACCCACATGTGAAACGGGTAGAAAATTAAAACCATGTCCATACCCGTTCGAGTCTCGGGTACTCACGGTTATTCATGGGTAATAATTTCTCTTCATAACTCCAACAAATATGTTAACATTCACACGTATTCTCACATTACTTAAGAGAAAAGTACGACAATAGTTCACTAGAATGAACAAAATTAATTAAAACAACACAATTTCATGAAAATATTATATTTATATGCTAAATATATAATATTTTAGAGAAAAATAATGATTATTTCTAGACAAAATACATATGCATTTGTATAATCGGGCGGGTTCAGGTTGGATAGTGAGAAATCCATGTCCACCCATTACCCACAATATTCGGGTTCGGGTTTTACCCGTACCCACTAAATGTCCTTCGGGTTCGGATTTTACCCTACCCGATTAGGCCGGATTCGGGCGGATATCCACGGTTACGGATATTTTTGCCATCTCTAGTTCTATGTGATATTAATCAATTTATTTTGAGGGATGGGATACGGTGACAATCCCTCCTCATCAGATACACCCTCTCTCCTCTCTCTTGTCTCCTTTTTTTTTTCTTTTTTTTTTCAAATTGATGATTAAGATTAAATGAAGGGTATTTTTGGAATGGAAAAGATTTACCACACACAATCATTTACCATCCCATATAAATTAAAAACAAAACCCTAACTCCTCCCACCCCTCTCCCCCTCCTCCCTCTCTCACGTAGCCATCCTCCACCGCAGCAGTCTTCCACAGCCGCAATCCTCCACCGCCGGCGCCGCCACCCCTATCTCCGGCAGCAGCCCTCTACCGCCGTCGTCTCCGCAATCCTAAGTTTCCCTCCACTCCTTGCCGTCGCAACGTCCCCTTCGACCACCGCGGCACAATCATCCTCTCCCCGTCGGAGCCCTCTCGCCGCCCTTCGTCTCCCACCACTGCCACCGTTGCGAGGTCACCCTCTTCCCCTACCTCTCTCTCCCATCACTGACTCCCATTTTCTAGATCTGGTTTTTTAGTGGTACCATTTTTCTTCTGGTAGTGTACCAGTGATAGTGGTACCTACCACTATCATCTGGTACCACTACCATCTGTTTTTTTTTTGTGTTATTCTCTACTGGTACCGCTATGAATGCTAGTGGTACGCTACCAGTATAGTGGTACGATAGAATATGGTAGTGGTAGCGCTGTACTGATAGCGTAACACTAGCACTGGTACATTTTTTAACGCACTGGTAGCGTACCACTAGCATTGATATATTAATTACTAGTAGACTAATGGATTGGTACACTTTTAAATGCACTCGTACATTTTTTCAACTTGCCGGAGGGAGTCTGCCGGAGAGAATTCGTCGGAGAAAAAGTCTGTCAGTCGATGCGGAGTGGCCGCTGGAGAAAGGAAGAGAGAGAGATAGGTACAGATATTAATGTATAGGATTTAAGTTAAAAAAAAAATTGTATTTAATATGGGATTTTAATTCCCAATATAATTAATACAAAAAAGGTAATTAATATATATTTTTTCATACCCAAAATATCATTGGTTGTCACCGTATCCCGTCCCTTATTTTGATTCAACTAGTTTTAACAAAATATGTTGAGTAATAAATGTAGAGTAATAAATGTAACATATTTGAAGATAATTTCTTCAAAATGTATAAACATATTTAAATAAAATACAATATTTCAAAGAAAATGAAAAATTCTCATATGTAAATACAACATTTAACGCAAAAATTCAAAGTTTATACATGAATAAAAAAATAACGTAAACATATAAATATTCATATTTGAATCTAACAAATAATATCAACACTTAACTTTCAAATTCATGAAAAAATAAAAAATTAAATTCACCGAAACAATGTCATATTGTTTAAAAGACTACCGACCATACCCGATTCCAGCTGATTTGTAGCCGATATTGATTGAACCCTGTTGTACCGATATACATGACAACCATGATAGCTTTATTTAATTGTCTTTCCTTTAAAATATTTTGGCGGAGGCTAACTGCTAGTTTGAAATGTATATTGTATTAACTAGCACAAGGACTGACTTATTAAACGCGAGAGTTAGATGGTTATATAATTTATATGTGTCATTCACACTGTTCATTTGTGTTTTGTTTGGTATTTAACCATGAACTATCTAGGCAAATACTTGAACTAGTGGAATATGTGTAGTGACATATGCAATTCTTCCTGTTTTGTGTCGCGACAAATAGCCGAACTGACAGGCAACAAGGACCTTATGGATCTATCTTTTGAGGTATCGAGCAGTTTAATCAATTGATGATCGATCTAGGGAGCTGTCGTGTCCAGTGTCACTCTTTTAGAAATAAGATTTCAAGATCTACACCATAAAGGGCTACAAATTTTGCTTACAATACAATTGATTAACAAGAATACACAATAAAAATACATCCAATCACAAAAACATTCAATCCATCTCCCTGGGGTTTACATTGCCTGAACAATCTAACGTTTAACTACTAATACATACAAAGGAAGTCATAAAGAGAGAAAGGTACAATGGTCACCATGATGAAATCTTCATTGATCTTCACCACACCCTCTTCTTTCGTGCCCAAGGAACTCCTCTGCTCATATTTTTCGTGGCTAACCTAGGGTGAACGTTCAAACTGACAAAAAGTGTCTACTGCTTCCCAAAAATTGTCTTTTCTACCTTGCTCCTAAAACAACGACGGATTTGGCACCCAAAATGAGAGCCTACGCATAGAGTGCAATTTTTGCCTTTCTACATTTCGTCTTGCACTGAAGGTCTTTTTTTCAGTTTCCTCCCAGTCTAGATTGCTGACTTGTTAAAAAGCGTTTCCATCAAAACAGTGCCAACGATGCCATTTTTGTCTTAAGTCCGCCGAAGACGCCTTTACCTGAAATTGCACAAAATACTACCAAAAGAACATATCAAAATGATAAAAGCAATTATGGGCTACACTACTAGTCTTGACTAAATATCGAGTACTTACAAGTGATTATGGGACTAAAATGAGGGATTCATGTTGTTTTGTCCAAAGAAATGAGGCTCAAAATAGTACTTTCTACGAGTCATCAAATAACCACACACTTGAACTTTGTTTGTCCCCAAGCAAACCTTACTCATAATCATACAACTCACTAGATCTTCACGATGACACGTGACTTTTGATCGTAGGAAGTGGATCATTGATTCGAGTCTATTTGTACACATTTTGCCCCCTTTTATCCTTAGATGTTTGACCTACTTTTAGTCTGTGAGGTTCGGTTTTACGCTATGTTGTGGTTGATTTTAGTATTTTTTAGATCCTAGTAGGTGAAACCAACCCATGGAATAAAAGTTGGACGAAAAGGGGTGGAAACCGGTCAAAAGGGAGCAACAACACCAGATCACGATGGAGGCCAACAATTCACGGTCATCCATACCATGAAGAGGAGGCATAGACCGTGAAGAGCGGAGAGTCCAGAAGGGTTTGTCCATCTCGCGGCCATAAACCAATTCACGGTCACTCGACCGTGAAGACCAGCTACAGACCATGAACTCCCTTAATGAAGCAGAGCGTTTTTGCTTGACATCATGGTCCGAGCCAGATGTTATTGCCACGAACTAGAATGTGAAACTCCGTCGTTCTGGGTATAGAAAGAGGGATGAGCTGAAAGAGAAAAGAGAGGAGGAACCTAGTGAGAAAGACTTCTTCTTCTTCTTCTTCTTCTTCTTCTTCTTCTTCTTCTTCTTCTTCTTCTTCTTCTTCTTCTTCTTCTTCTTATTATTATATTTATAGAGAGGAAAGTGACGAAAAAGAGGAGAAGAGAAGTTAGGTTTTCATCCAAGAGCTAGGTTTTGGGAAGTTCTTCCTCAAAGGTTGATCTCCACACCACAAGTAAGAAGTCAAACATCTCCAAGATGGTTTTCTCTCTTCTCCCTTGTGTTTTCCCTCTACTTAGCATGGAATAGACATTTCTTTCACTTGGCTGTTTGTTAACCCTAGCTACAATTATGTGAATGTTTGTATGGATTTAATGTCTTGTGTGTGGTTGTGTTTTAATACAAGTTATGAGGTATTTTCATGAAGATTGTGTGTGTTCTTGCATTTCCAATTCTTATGCCATTTTAACCTAGGTAGAGGGAAATCCCCTTCTGGTTAAGAGGCTTGTAAAAGTTGGAATTCCTCGGCTAATTGTGTCACCTACCTAGGTTAAATTATGACAAACCTCTTAATACGTATTAACACCTTTTGTAGGTTGTAATTTGGTTGTCTGAACTATAGTTCGAGGGTGAAGTAGGCAACCCTTAGTCGATTGGGCCAAGAGATTTACCTTGGTCGCTTGATTTGATATCTCTTGGCCTAGAGACCGAGAGAGTGACGGTTGTTCACTTGTTGCACTTCACTACGGTTTACAACCGGCTTTACCACACATTTGCATTTGATCCGACAAACCATGATTGTTAGCTAGGGGGAGCAACACTCGGGTGAAGCCTTCTCAATTAGTGTTCATACCATTTACATTGCCAATAATTTTATTCATAAATCGTAGTTTTAACCAAAAATCAATTGTTAGATAATGTTTTAAACAATCGAAGTAGGGATACATGGACCGGCCCGGGGTTGACTTTTAAAACATACTTGCCCTATATTGCACCCAGTTAAGGTTTATACTTGGGCCTTAATTGGGGGGTTTTTATTGTGATATTCTGGACGAGTCAATCATAAGTAGCTTACAACATCAACTCTCACACTTAGCGGCTAGATCATATGCATGAAGTGCATGTCTTGTAAAGATAATCTTGCTTATCTTTACCTGATTGCAAGTTTTCTTATCCTTCAAGTCTTGTCGAGATTTTG